CGACATGTCTGTCTTGACACATCCAGAACTATCTTGACATATAGTGCTCACTTTTACTAATCTCTTGGCAAAATAGATGGAAAATGTTTTGAGAGCAAATTTTTAACGGTTGTCAATGTATTGATCATCTCGGACCAAGTTGCTTGTGGTCCTGCGGGCAATGAAAAAGATAGAACCAAAAAGGGTTGTTTTGACCTAAAACTTTACCAATAATCTATGATTCTTAGGATGAATTTAAGGAAAAATCATTATGAGCTCTTAAAACCCTCAAAATGTAACCTTCCATGAGATTTTTAATGTGGCAACTTCTTCTCAGTTTTAATCAAATCTTTTACATTGAAGCAATGAATAAATACAGTGTATGAGTTGAAACAAACCGTAGAATCTGGGCAAAATGAATGATTCTCATTAAAATATTATTTGTCTGTTTTTTTAGTTAGTTTTATGTTTGTTATTCTTCGATCGACTTCGACATGACGAGTTTGAATTTTTTCTCGTCAATGTTTGTTGTGTTTGGTATTAACAAAACTAATCTCTCTCTCGCTCTCTCTGCTATTCTTTTTTAAAATTTTATGTTCTTATTTTTGCAGAAGGACATAAAGAAACTGTTGGGGATCGCGTGAAGCCAGAAGCCGAATTTGTAGCACTTGCGTTTCTAGCGGCGCTTTATTTGGGCAGCTCAGATAATAATAGGTGGAAAGCATGCTGGTCTATGGTTTGTAAGATTAGTATAGTATGAGACATGATACAAATTCCTCCTTCAATCTGGACATTGTTCTTCTTGTATCATCTCTATTTGCATGTTTGTTGAGTATGCAGTTATGTATAAATGGGAGGCACTCTTCTTGAAAGAACTGTGAATTATATATCTTCTGAAATGTGAATTATTATGGTCTAAGTTGGATGATGACCGGGGCCGGCTATTTGGCCCATGTCTCAGCCGAGTACTCACTTGAGTCTAGCTGAGTACTCACTCGAGTCCGAGTAACTCAGCCCGAGTGGTCAAGTACTGTAGCAGATGAAAATTATTAAAAGAATAAAAAAAAAAAAAAATGGATCCGGTTTCTATGCGGCCAACCTGTATATGTAGAAATGCAGGCCTCTTAATAAATCTATTTTGAGATGGATTTTAAGACTTAATTTTTAAGGAGATGTAATCTCTAACAAGGAGATCATGAATATGAAAAAGTAAATAAATTTTAAAACTAAAAATAATAATTCTAGTAAGAAAACATTTGGATTGTTAGTTTATCAATTTTCCTAAATTTTTTTCATGAGATCTAAAAAATATAGGAAAAAATTTATATAAGGTTACAACCTAGAATTTTAGATGCACTTAAAAAATACATTGAAAAAGGTTAGGTTGTTTTAATGTTGAAAAACCCTCTAATTGATCGTTTTAACATTGCGATGTATGAATATATAAATATGAAAAGAAAGCCAGATTTTGAGTACTAGAAACAGTGCATCTTGCAACACATTATTTGGACCATTCAATTTTAAAATTTTCATATGTTTATAGATCTATTTTGATTTTATCTATTTCTGGAGTTTAAAATTTTATAATTAAATATGAAAATACATTTTGAAAAAATTCTTAAGAATATTTTATATTAAAGTTATATATTATAATAAAATTTGAAGGTGCACCTTATTTACATATTATGATAAAATTTAAAGGTGCACCTTATTTGGATTGTTTAAGGTTGCAACCTTATAGAAACCACACCCAAAAATATATTTTTATATTTACGTTGGGCTTTGCTTCTTTTGTCATCCAACAAGGCCCCATTCATGGAATCTCTTGGCCATCGTTTTAAGTGTATTGAGTCTTGGCATCTCTTGGCCTCGTTTTAAATGTATAGAGTTGGGATAAGGTGGATATGCTCCGAGGTGAATACAGTCAAAATGTGCTTAGAAAGGATTCCAAAAAAATCAAACATTTTGTAACCGCATTTTGCTTCAATTTTTGATGCATTGAATTTAATTGTAATTTCTCTTCAATTGCCTTCACATTTTGCTAACTTCTATGTATTAAATTCTATAGTGCCTGGAAACATTTGCTTTGGTTTTATACTTTCATCATCATTTTTCTTTTGAACACATAAATTTACGAGTAGTTATAGTTCATCACACAATATCTTATTGTAAGCTCCAAGGCATATTCTAATTTGACCCATGGTGCATATTCATTATAAAACAATTTTACTTCTTCCTCTAGTAGAGCCTCCATGCTCGCATATGGATCTACAATACTAATACTTTCTCCATCACAATTATTGATAAACACACAAATTTTGCATTAAGATTGTCGCCCCTTCCAAATCCTTTTCATCATCACACTGTGAACTTTGGCACTAACATTGTCATCCCACTCTGAATTTTCCCCATCGAACAATGTTATCCATTGTAACCACCAATCTCTACACTGCCATATTTATATCCCTCCAAATCCATGCACGACTCCATTGTTGTAATTGGGGCTGCCACCATTCAAGAGACATACAACAACTAGAAGGGAAAACCTGAGATAAGACTCCCAATAAAAATCTATATCTACTGATCAATAAAAGCTTGACAATAATAAGAAAGATTATAACAAGGAAAACTCTCCCTCTGTAAGATACTAGAAAATCTATAAGCCGATATGCCATCATCTAAGAGATTCAAGTATTGTCAAATGAGGAAGATACACTATGATTCAATGGAATATGGTGTAGAAGGTATCCACCTTGTGTTCAGATTAAGAGTAGTGGACATGGACATTCACCAATATATAATTAATCAGTCGATTGGTGGATGGGCCTTTGAAGTAACATAAACCATGGTCAACATATTATTTTGTACTTTTCTGGGTTATTCCATTTTAAAGGGAAATGTAGCAAAATTATAAAGATCAGATAGCAACATTGAGGCATGATGAACAAAATAAAAAAGGAAGCATCATGTTACGATACATCAACCCATGTTTCTACAAGCAAAGATGATGTACAGCTCATATACGATAAAAGTAGAGGAGCAAGTAAAGATGATGCAGCAAATTCCAATCGAAAAAGTACTTTATTTGTAACTTGGCTATTTGTTATTTTTGCAGCAGGGAAAAGTTTATATAGAGCCGAGGCTCTAAATAATCAAATTAGAGCTTACTTCAAAAATTTCACCAAAAGTGGTTGTTTTGATGCCAAAATATCCTCAAATTGTTCATCTCGACATCAAGATGCATAGACATGAGAAAAAAATGGACTTCAAGTTTTGAAAATACTGTATTTTGGAATGCATTTTTGGACCATCAATTTCAAGATTTTTAAGTTTTTATAGATTTGTCGATCGACACTAATTTTGAAGCTTTAAACTTTATAAATAAATATGAAAATATATTTTAAGGCTATCACAAAGATTTCCAGTATTGAAACCGCATTTCTCGACACTATTTGAAGGTAGCATCTAATTTGATTGTTGAGAGCTTAGGCTCTATACAAACCACACCTTTTAAAGAATTGCCCAATCTAATTTTATTCTATTATATGAGTAATGATCCTATGAGACTCTTCCACATCCATATGTGTAGGATCTCAAAGGATCACCATTAAATTTGGCACAGATCTATAGAAAAGTTAAGACATATGTGTGGGACTTGATTTTTCTAAAGATCTGTGTCAAATTTAGTGGTAATCCTTTGGGGTCCTACACACATGGGTGTGGGAGGGGTCTCATAGGATCATTACTCTTATTCTATATAGGATAATTTTTCACATGTGTATGCATTTATCCACATATTTTAAAACAAGGACCACATTAGGCAAAGTTCAAAAAAGGAAAAAATAAAACAAGAGGATTAAAAATTAGAAAGAGAGAATAAATTAGAAGGGAAAGGTTCCTATACTTACCCTACAACTAGAAGATATATACTTCCTCCCATCCAGCCGTCCAATTTAGATTGAGTGAGCCACTCATCCTTTGATTTAGATATGATGCTTCTGAGTATTTTATTTTTAATTTTTTTCTACAAATTGTATGAATATAAAATTTGGTATGTGCCATATTATAAATAATGGGGTGCAACTAAAAAAATATTAAAAAACATTTTCAAAACAACATAATAATAAAATACCCCTGTAAACTTTCAAAGATATTTTGGTAATTTTATTTTATTGAGATTTTTTTTTGAGAAATGATCTCATAGGATCCTCCCCTGTCTATGTGTGTAGGACCCCAAAGGATCACCATTAAATTTGGTATGGATCTCTAAAAAAGTCAAGTCTCACACCCATGTGATAACTTTTCTAGATATCCATACCAAATTTTAGGGTAATCTTTTGAGGTCCTACACACATGGGTGGGAAAAAGTCCTATAGGATAATTATTATATATATATATATATTTACAATTGCTAGATTAAGAGAGGAGTAGACACTCAAAATTGGGTACCAAAATATTTTGTATAAAAAAATTAAGAATAAAATAGTACAGAGACATGACATTACAAGTAAGACCATCTCAGCCGTCCATTAACAATAGATGGTTGGATAGGGGAAATATAAAAGTTTTATGATGTATGGGGAGCATAAAAAGCTTCCCTCAGAAAGGGGCGAAACCTTGGTGGTGAGAATAGATACCTTGGAGGTCTGGCAGCCTCGTTCAGGGAAAGAAACGGCGATACCTTATGTACTCATATCCATGCTTGCTAACCCCTAAACATCACAGTTTCCATACAAAACACAAGCTCTATAATAGATTTTGGCAAGCGCAGGTCGCTTGAATGCTCGCTGAGAGAGAGAATTTTCAAAAAAAAAAAAGGGTATTTTTTTTTTTTTTTAGGAAAAAGGGTTTAGGGGCAAACTTGAAAAAAATGAGGTCAATTACTAAAGGGAAGAGTTTATATAGAGCCAGGTTCTAAACCATCAAATTAGAGCACACCCTAAAAACTTCGCTACAAGAGATTCTTTTGATGCCCAAATATACTTAAATTGATAATCTCAATATCAAGATATATGGACATGATAAAAAAGTTTTGGAAATGTTATATTTTGTAATGTATTTTTGGATTGTCAATTTTTCAAATTTTCATAGATCTATCGATCTACACTATTTTTTAAACTTTAAACTTTATAAATAAAGATGAAAATATATTTTAAGGCTATCACAATGATTTTCAGTATTGAAACCACATTTCTCGACACTATTTTAAGTTATGCTCTAATTTGATTGTTTAGAGCCCAGACTCTATACAAACCGCACCCATTACTAAATGGGTTAACCTGTAAGCGGAGAGATTTGATTTTGTGTTTGGATATGGATCCAATAGTCAAGGGTGAAAATTACCGTTAACTTGTGTGTTGAAAATACACATGATCATTCCAACATTTTACCAACAAGAAGAGTGTACAAGTATCTTTCCCACAATTCAGATTAGATATGGGCCGATCTAAGGGCCCCAGAATAATTTTGTTTTTAGTTTTATACAATTTGAATCCATATAAAAAATATAGATGCATTTTTATAGGACACACCCAATAAAAGAAACGATTCAAATAAAAAATTGACCAATGTATTATGGTTAATTTTTATTTAAATTTTTTATTTTAGTTTTTATTGAGTTATTTTAGTAATTCAGTGGGGATGACGGAGTTTTTATTGGGTTTGCTATATGAAAGATTCACCTCCACCCCGATTTCGATGTGAATAGGATTTGTAAATAAAACATAAAAGAAAAGAAGAAAATATCAATTTTTGGCCCTTAGATAAGCCCAAGTCCAATATGAACGGCTGTATTTGGACACTATACAATTGCCATAATTATTTGGATGAAATATTTATTGAATTACATAATTTATTTGTTAAATTTCAAAATTATAAATCTAGATTGAAAATGCGACCTAAGGCTTGTTTCAAATATGG